TTTTTTTCAAGTAATTTTGATCTAACAACTACTACACTCAATCCAATATTGACCGAATGAGAGCCATTTAAAATGTAAAAAAAAAAACATTATTATAAAAAAACATAAAACATAAGCAGTATTAATCAAGACGTCGTACAGTTCGGTCGTGCACTCGTGCCCGTCCTAATTAAACCAACTTTATCTTTATAATTTTTCTTTCATTTACTTTGCTATCTAAACGTATTTCGGTGTATACACAGTGTGTAAAATGTCTAATTGCATGAAGTGTAATGAATCACTAACTCACAATGAAGATACTTTGGAATGCTCCGGATGTAACAATAATTATCACTACTACTGTATCGGAATCTCAGAAACTAACTTCAAAAAAATGTCAAAAAACACAAAAAATAGATACTCATGTAGTACGTGCAACAATTCCGAAACAAAAACAATAAATGACCCACTACTCAAACTTAACACAAAGATGGGAGATCTCATAAAGTCAGTGAATTTTATGAGTCTTCAGTTCGACGATTTCAACAAAAAATTGGAATCTACACTGACCGAATTAAAACAGTTAAAAAAAGAAAATGAAATCATAAAAGCAGATAATTCACGGCTATCCAATGAAATCCTCGAAATTAAACACAAATTGGATACAATTGAGCAACAAAACCTCGGAATTAGCGTTGAAATAAACGGTATACCTAAATCGAATAATGAAAATTGTATTGCCGTAGTACAATCAATTGTTAAACAGCTGAATATTAACGCCACAGTCACTGAAGCAACTAGAATTATATTATCAGATAACAAAATCCCGATAATAGTAGAGAAACTGGACACAATCGATATGAGGAGAGATCTAATACGAGCAAACAAAGTTAAAAAGCTAAATGCGAATATGCTGTCTAATAATTGGTCCACAGACAATAAAATATACATAAATGAACGTCTAACCAAAGAAAAAAGGATTCTCTATTCAAAAACGAGAGCTGCAGCCAAAGTCAGTAATTTCAAATTCGTATGGATCAACAATGCAGACATTCTTGCCAGGAAGGATGAACATTCAAAAATCATACGAATAAGGTCTAGTACAGATTTAAACAAACTATAAGCTATATAATTTTTAAAAACGTTTACTAGGTTAATACAATATACTTATTCATGTTTAATTTTCATACAAAAAAAACTATTAACAAATCATATCTTACTACACACTCATTAAAATACTTTAATATTAATTTCTTATCTTTGGATTTCCATAGCCTCATCAACATCGGTTCACATCACATTTACCCTAACTACAAAGTACCTACAATTTTAATTAGCACTAATGACCGCTATTAACACACTTTATGATATAATTGATAAAGATAATACAAACACAACAATAAAATCTTTAGATGAAATTAACAAATTATACTCAAACAATTATTCCGGTATAAACATACTCTTCCTAAATATTAGAAGTATTGAAAATCACTTTCCTGAACTAGAATGCCTTAACACCGCACTTAACCAAAGAAATCATATAATAATTACAGCGGAATCATGGCTTGGAAAACATACCAATCAGAACACCTTTTCATTAAATAACTACCTAAATATAGTCTCAAATATCAATATACGTAAATCTGATGGGTTAGTTTTATTTATAAGGAACGATATTATTTCACATAACACAATAGAACTGGAAATGCTAGATGCAAATTGTCTGTTTACAACATTAACGTTCAACAAAATAAAATAAAGAATATTATCAGTTTACAGATCCCCGAGTGGTAATATAATTAAATTTATTGATAATATAGATACAATAATAACTAATATAATTAACTCCCACAAACATATCACACTAATACTAATAGGTGATATCAACATAAACTTACTGGATACTACAAACTCCACAACAATTTACTTAGATTTATTAAACTCTTTTAATTTTACCCAATATATCAATTGCCCAACGAGACCTACATCGAATAGTTGTATCGACCATATATTTTTCAGAGACATTCACAAACATGTAATTAAAGCAACTGCCATAGACTCCCTTATTACAGATCACTATCCATTATTTCTACAACTAAATCACCCCTCTTTGAAAACAATTAAAAAAACTAATATCAAACCTCACAAATACATAAATTATAATGAATTAAGATCGGCATTAAACAAAACTAATTGGAACAATATAAAAAAAATTAACCTTGCTGAAGATAAGATAATGTCACTTTCAACAATCATACAAAACCACATAAATAAATGTACTCATTACGGTAAAACGAAACATAAGCAAGACAAACAATGGATTACTCCTGGTATTATTAAATCAATTAAAATAAGGAATAAACTGCATACCCTAACTAGGCGTCAACCATTTAACCTTTTGTTAATAAACAAATACAAAACTTATAGAAATAAATTGACAGATATCATATTTAAGCAGAAACAACATTTTTATGGCTTAAAAATTAAAAGTTGTAGTAATAATCCCAAAAAAATATGGTCGACAATAAAAGAAATTACAACCCAAACACAATCACATCAACAAAATTACAGCTTAAACATACATAGCAATATTCACGAATCAAACGAGGAACCACTATTAATAGCAAACACGTTTAACGAACATTTTTTAACAATGGGTAACCATAATAATACTTTTAAAAACCATAATATAAATAATAGTCTTCCGATTAATTCAAATCCCAAGCAGTCTTTTTATTTAAGAAAAATATCTGCGTCTGAAATATGTAATATAATTGATGGTATGAGAAATGATTCAGCTCCTGGGAAAGATGGGATATCAATTAATGTAATAAAACAAAACAAAGAAACATTATCTAATATCTTAGAACACATTTTTAATAAGATTATCCAAGAAAGTAACATACCAAATACGTTTAAATGTGCCATCGTAACACCGATACATAAAGGCGGCGACAAAACTTCAATTAATAATTATAGACCTATCAGCTTATTAAATATTTTTTCCAAAATTTTTGAAAGAGCAATCAAAACTAGACTTTTATCTTACTTAGAAGAAAATGATATACTACCTAAATCACAATTTGGTTTTAGAGAAAGACTAGGAACCGAAGATGCGCTCACTGAGCTCTCAATGGATATTTATTCAAATCTAAATAAAAAAAACAAAACATTAGGAATCTTCTTAGACCTGAGTAAAGCCTTCGACAGCATCTCTCATCAAACATTAATTAATACTTTAAAATCCATAGGCATTGTCAGTATCCCACTACTTCTATTAAAATCATACTTAACAAATAGGATACAACAAGTGAGAATATCAAACACACTAAGTAAGGAAATTATCATTACCACTGGAGTCCCTCAAGGAACAGTTTTATCACCAATTCTATACCTAATATACGTAACTTCGTTAGCAAAATTAAATCTACATGGCAAACTTTTTTCCTATGCAGACGATACGGCCATACTTTTAACTGGAAATAATTGGGAGGAAATTCGTCAAAATGCCGAATCAGACATGCACTTAATAAATACATGGTTCTTAAAAAATAATTTACGAATAAATTATACCAAATCAAATTTCTTAACTTTCACACATGACAAAAGAACACAACCAAACTTCAATGAAATAAAAATTCACGACTCAAATTGTAAAACAAACAATTGCTCATGTAACATCATTAACAAAACTGATCATACGAAATACTTAGGATTAATTATTGACCAACACCTAAAATGGGACATACACATAAATACATTAATTATAAAATTACGAAAATTACAACACCTTTATATAAATGCAAGAAAATTCCTAAATATACAAACACTACGTATGATATATTTTTCCTTGACACAATCAATCCTTCATTATGGTATAACTGCATGGGGTGGTCTAGGTATTGTTGCAAGCAATAAAATACTGAGAGCTCAAAAGAGTATAATAAAAATAATACTAAAGAAACCAAAAACACATCCTACTACACAAATATACAAGGAGTTCAATGTTTTATCTGTTCAAAAATTATTTCAAAGAAATTCTCTCTATTTCATATATAAAATGAAGTTAATTAATTTAAAACATAAATACTATAATACACGACTGGAAAATAACATAGAGATTCACACTACACGATAGATTAAATCAAGTCTATGTTTTTCACAGGTAGGCCTTAAGCTCCTGAATAATGCCCCTTCATACATTTTAAATAGCAAATCTTATGTACAATACAAAAGAAATGTTAAAATTTGGCTAAACCAAAACCCAAATATCTGAATCGAAGTATTTTTGTATACTTGTATAAAATATGATGTGAGCCGGTAAACTTTAATATATTAGAATAGCAACCTATTAACTTACTTAATTATTTCAATTTCAAATTTCAATATATATGTATTATTTTTTTTTTTTTCTCTTTCTTTCTCTTATGTTTTTGTCTTTGTTTTTAATGTTTATTGTACTTTGTCTTATAATGTTTCCATTTTTTAATTTTTTTTTTTCAATTTATACTTATTTAATTACTCAGGTTTTTCATTAATACTCCAATTTCACCAATAAGAGATCTTATCTCAGTGGTGAGTTGGGCCATTAAATACGTTTCTTTTTCTATTATTGTAACTATATTGTAACTAAATATTATGGCCAATAAATCTTATTATTATTATTATTATTATTATTAATTCCGGTTTTTGGTGATTTGTTGTTGATGAAAAGAACTCATTTTAGTTAATATCGATCCATTTTTTTTTTTTACTATTTTTATATTCTGTCGTTTTTGTAAGACTATTTAAATAAGTTTTATTAGATTCATAAAATTTTAATTTAAAACTAAGAAAAGTACCTACCATATTAGATAGGTCAAATCAGTGGCACACAGTAGATTTTTGAAAAGAGTGTCGAAAATATATATTTAGAGGTACCCACCCACCTACCCCCACCAGTAGAATCTAAGTTTCGACAAAGTATAACTCTTATTATTAAGTATTTTTGGTTTTTCTTACTAACAAAGATACTAAAAATATAATTTTTTAAAATAACCTAATATTAATTATTTTCAATTTTCTGGGTATTAATCTATAAGTTTACATATTGATACTATTACTATTAAACAAATAATCATACAAGTTCACACAGAATTAGTCAACCACCAATTCTCTGAGGGGTGTCAGTCGATTCCTCTGACCCTCCCTGTGAGCGCCACTGGGTCAAATAAGAGTTTAATAGTTAAAATTACTTGCCTTTTTCCAATTAGAAAATCCAGTAATAGTAAAAGTCAGGGTTGACACGTATTATACATAAATGTATAATTTGTGTATTATACGTATAATACATTACGTATTATATATCTATAATTTATACATAATTCGATGTATAAAATATAAAATCATTAAAATCCAATTATTATAACTAAAAAATATAATTTTATTGTGATATCTGGTGACACTGTTAATATCAATAAATCAATTATTTAATTGCTTATTAATTATTATCAGTTATCACTTATACAGTTATACATATTACATACACTTATCACATTCATTCAGTGTTGCCAGATTCAAGGATTTTTCCCATTTCTGGGGATTTTTTTAAAAGTCTAGAGGATATGTCTAGGATCTGGGGATTTTTTAGCTGTATTCAAGGATTTTTGTCTGGGCTTCTGGGGCAGTGGCGTATTTAAGGGAGGGTAAGGGAGAAAATTGTCCCGGGCAGCACTTGTTTTGGAGGCAGTAAATAGTAAATGTAACTGGAAGGTTTTATTTTTAAACTGATTCAAACATTTGTAAAAAAAAAAAAAAAATGTGTACTTAGAGCAGCAAAATCCTAAATACACCTCTGCTCTAGGGCGTTCATAAAATTTTTACTTTTAAGAATAAATGAATAAAAAATTGCATTTTTAACCAGTTTATTATTGCACAAAATCTAAATTAAATTACAGAGATCTTTCTGTTAGTTATTCATTATTAAAACATAAATAAATTGAAAAAAACATTAAGGAATATGAATAATGTAATAAAACCTAATAACATTTTAATAAGAATTAGAAAACAATAAAACATGTTATAAAATATAACAATTGGAAAATAACATTAACAATATTATAATGATTTCTTATTAAAGAATAT